TAATATTATAAATAATATAATAAGCATTTGCCAAACACTTTCCATACATTAGCTCATTTAGACCACACAAAAACTCTGAAGTAAGTACTACAGTATTATGATTCCCAGTTTTCAGGTGGGAAAACTCAGAGCAATACACGACTTGCCCATGGTCACATAACTAGTAAGAATCAGAGGTGGGATATGAACCCCAGTCTTTCTGATTTCAAGTCAGTTACAGAGACAAATCTGATAAAAACTCCCAGAAGGAAGGTGCCAACTTGCCACAGCAGCCTTTAGTGAAAAGACATGATTTTTGGATGACTTACATTTGACTGTGATTATTTGTAAATTTTCATAGATTTTGTTTGCATTTAATCACTTTCTGAATTTACTCCCGAGGCATGGAGTTCCTTCTACAGACCTGTAGAGGGCGCTGCTGGCAGTCAGGAGGCTTCTCTAGGACCTTCCACTATGTGAATGGATAAGAGCTAAGTATTTACAAGCTGCCTCCAGAAATGGCAAACACAGCCCAGGTCACAGGAACGATTCCATCTCTGTCAGCCAATGGAATATCATTTAAATGCCTTCCTTGGAAGCCATGGCTCCTCCAGAGTTGGGCGGCTGCTGTTAACCAATCTTATGTTATCTTTAGTCTATCTGTGTTTAGTAAAAACAGCAAAGAAGTCAGTTTTGGAAGAAAGTCCTAGACTAATACCCTCAATTAGCATAACAACTTCTACACAAGAAAAGCCAAAAGTGAAAGAGTCTGCTTTTTGAAAACTTAGTGAAACTGCTTAGTGAAAAAGTCAGGAACAAAATCCAGATTTGGGCATAGACCTCTCCTTTCTCCCCCACCTCCTGCCAGTTGTATGACCTGCTCAAAGGCAGCTAATACATTTTCCTCTGCACACCATAAAGTTGAATATTAGAAAGGGAAAATAGCCTATTACATTTGCTTTTCTAGATAACATAGAAAATCAAAGGATTTCTCATCTTCCTTAAAAAGAAAACCCTCAACTAACCCTGGTTTTAGCAAGCCCCTTCTAGTCACCCCCCTCCCAGCTGTCCAGATGGACTCTGAGGCCAACAAATCTTTTTATTGGTATTATTGAAATCACACTAACCAAAAGAGGTCAAAAGCACAATTCTAGAATCTCTAAAAACTTAAAACCAGGAAGGTTGTGATATGATCAAGTCATTACTAAAGATGAAGAGTAGCCAAGTTCGGTGGAAAGAGTTCTGGATTTAGACTCAAAGGACTTAGGTTCAAATCCCAACCGCTACTTGCTACTTGAGTAACCTTGAGTATCCCATAGATGAGAAGGTTGGACCAAGCCCTAAATCTAAGCTCTAAGTATCCTTCTGATTCTGTCTCTGCTATGTCATTGGCATTTGTCCCCTCTTCCCATTTCTCACAGCAACCACCCTCATTTGGGACCATATCTTTTTTCACCTAGATTAGTCTAACAACCTCCTAATAGTTCATTTGCCTCCAGTGTCTTTCTTATCTAATCTTAATTGTCTGGATTCACTACAAATTCTTATTGTCTGATCTCTGTGGGCCCTCACTGCTACTTGATATTTTTTTTATTCTTTCTTAACTGATTCTCTATTACTCTCTCCACAATAACTATTTCAACACTTTCTTCTCTCTTCTCAAAACTTCTATACCACTTTATGCTAGCTGAAGCAGTGGGGCAGCCTGAGGAAGGGACAGGAAGCAGCATGTGTCGGCAAATCAACACCACCACTTTGACCACCAAGTCCCTTCAGACCTTGGTGCAGACACCCAAGGACCCTGAGCCTAAGACTTTTGGGAATGGCAGTGTTCTACAATAGCAGACCTGCTTCCAGACTAACCCCCATAGCCTTAGGGGGAAAATGATTGTGAAAAGTCCCACCTTCACTACCACAAGTAATAACTGATGACCAACTACCAGAAATAGGTAGATGGGCACAGGACCTCTGAGAGAGGCAGACCTCTGAAAGAGGCAGGACCCTCTAGACAACTAGGCCTGCTTCCAGCCCAGCCCTCACAGCCATTATTTAGGAAAGCAACTCCTGTGGAGAAGGGGCCCAGACACCCCCACACTGTCAACCATCAGCCATACAAAGGGCAGGCAAGCCAGCCTCACTGGAATTGCAAGGCATCCTGAAGAAGAGACAGCAGATAACATGTGCCAGACAAGTCAAACCACCACCACCCCCACCACTATCTTGACTGCCATCTCCCCTCAGGCCCTGAGGGGCCGCAGCCCAGGATTCCAAACCCAGGAGTCTTGGGATTAGCATTAGCTCCAGGACAGTGACCTCCACCAACAATGCTGGGAAGCAACACCCAGAAAGATGCAGCCTGGGAAATGTTCCTAGTGGCGCTTTAGCCACAGCTAACTGAAGACTCAGAAATGAAAGTTCTTACCACCAATGTCCTCGGCCTTGTCAAACAGTTCATCATCAAAAACTGATATGATTTTATTAGTGGAAATGACATTAAAGATGCATTACCATCTGTTTTATCCCTGCATCCTAAGGACCAGGAGACTTTTCCATCTAACTTGCAACTGAAACCTTCTGTAGATACTGCCTCCCTCATTAGAATGTGAGCTTCTTGAGGGTATCCTTTTTTACCTCTATTCCTAGTGATAAGCACTTAATAAATGCTTTATTCAAGATTTCACCTCCTATTTTACTGGGAAAATAGAAGCCATTCATTCCAAACTAACTTTACTTCCATTATTCCATACCTCAAACATTCTCTTCACCCCCCTCCATTCTGTTCTCCTTCTTATAGTCCATTCTCTGATGACTACATGTCTCTTCTTGTGAAGGCCAACCACACCTGTCTTTTCCAGGCATTTATCTCCTTTGTCATTGCCTCTGTCTCACTTTTAAACTTTCCTTATCTATGAGTTCCATACCTGACTCCTACAAACATATCCAGGCCTCCCTAATCATGGAAAAAAAATCTTCATTTTACCCTATCTTTTCCTAGAAGGAGCCACTTACACTCATTGCTTATATTTGCTCATCTCCCAATATTTCTGAGGCTCTTGCAATCAATTGAAACTGCTGTCTTCAAGATTACAAACAATCACAACTGCCAAATCTAATGAACTTTTTTGCAGACCTCCTTCTACTCGACCTCTCTGCAACTTTTAACACTGTCAACAATTCACTCACTCCTAGGGAGTCTCTTTTTTTGGCTCCTCTGACACTTCTCTCTTGGGTCTCTTTCTACCCGTTTTCATTGTCCCTTATTAGCCTCTTCTGCTTGACCATCCTCCTGTTCCTACTCACTATGTGCATATTCCCCAAAGCTCTGTTCAGAGCCCTTTCCTTTTTATCTCTCTGTACTCATCACTTTGCTCATCTCATCATGGAAATGACTAGAGCTACTCATTCCTCAAATTCCAGTCCTAAATTACCTGATAGTTAAATGTATAACTGACTAGTCAGCCCAAGGCACTTCACATTCAACATGTACAAAACAGGACTCATTCCATCATCTCCAAAACCAATCCTTCTGACAAATTTCCCCATTTCTATTGATGACTCCATCATTTTTTGAGTCACCTAGATTTACAACCTTGGATTCATCCTTTGATCTTCCTCCTCCTCATCCCCCATATCCAAGCAGTTCCAAATCCCCAGTTGAATCTATCTCTACAACATTGTTCGCATCCATTACTTACTTTCCATTCACATAACATCTACTCTAAGTCAGGCCCTCATAATGTCTCATCTGGACTATTGCAGTAGCGTCTTTATTGGCCTTCTGTGTCCAGTCTCTCTTTCCTTCAATCCACCTGCCCCAACAGACACAAAATTAATATTCCTAAAATCCAGATCTCAATATGTCAACCTGCTACTCCTAAATGAAAAATTCTTCAATGTCTCTTTATTTACTTTAGAATAAAATGTGATTCTGAGAAAATCCATTGGTTGGCAATGAAGGCCTTATACAACCTAGCTTCCACCTACCTCTAAAATCATATTTCATATTCTTTCCCTTTTTTCTTTTCCATTCCAGTAAAACTGACATGCTAGCTCTTACCCATAGATGATATTATATCCTTCACCTTTGTGTTGGTACAAGTGGTCTCTCACTTGTGGAAAGCACTTCCTCATCACTTCCATTGTCCAGAATCCTTCGCTTCTTTTAAGACACAGTTCAATATCACCTTCTATGTACATGAGACTTTTCCTGAGTAAGCACCTCCCTCATTGACTAGTAAAGTTCTCTCCCTCTTAAAATCATTTTGTATTATTTTATATATCCTTTGTATTTACTTATCTGTATTCCAGTTGTGTCTCTTCAGTAGAATTTAAGCTCCTTGAGGGCAGAGACTATTTCATTTTTGTCTCTATATCCCCCGTGCCTGGCAGAGTGCCTTGAACGCCGCTGCCTGAGAAAATAATCTTAATCTAACACTGACCATGTTACTCTTTTATTCAAAAACCTTTAGTACTCCCAATACTCACAGAATAAACTCCTGATGCTGGCATTCAGAGCCCTCCATACTTTGGCTCCAAATCATCTTGTTAGTTTTATATCACCATTCCTCTTCATGTACTTACATTCCAGGCAAACTAGATGACCCTCATTCATTCTTCCCTCTCCCGTGTCTACATCTTTGCTCACACTGGCTCCCATGCACAGAACGGAATCCCCCATTCAACATCATCTGTCAAAGTCTGTCCTGACATCCCTAAGGGCCAACTTGAATACCACTTCCTCCATGAAGCCTTTCATGACCACCAACCCTTTCACTCCCTCCCCCAGGCGAAAGTAATCTTTCCCTATTCAAAATTCTCTTAGCTGTTTGGCTGGACCATTCCTTGGGACTCATCTCACTCACCTTTGTATTATAGTTTTCCCACTTACGAGTATATATTTAAAGAACAGAGTACCGTATCATATCCTTGTTTTCTTAACACATTGTCTCATAAATAGTAGTCACCTAAATGTTTGTGAGATGAAATGAATTAAGTGTTAAAATACATCAGGTGAAACTCACTTCGCTCCGGGAGGCAACAGCTCTGTGGAGTGGGGTCAACCACATGTTGTCCTTGGCATTTACACGAGCCCCTGGAACAGAAGGGCATAAGTTAGCACATAAAATATTGTCAATGGAGTAATCTGCTAACACGGTTTAATTCAGTTACTACAGTATCTTGCTCTTATTTTGATGGTACTATCTTCACCTGCTTTACTTTGAGTCGATTCTGTGCATTTAAGAATAGGGGTCTTTAAGTAGTTTATATCAGAGATGTCAATAAACTCAGAGATGTGACCAGCAACACTCTCCAGGGCTGCCAAACTAGATTAAAATGTAAATGGAAAATATTTAACAAAATATGTGAAAATGTAATAAAACATTCCATTTTAAAACTAAATCAATATGCAGCCTGCAGGGATCCTTACATATAAATTAATGACCACCATTTTTATTTGAGCTTGACACTAGATGGGTACCAGGCCTCATGGTATTCAGGAAAAGGGTGGGCAAATGTTACAAGGAAGATGTGGTGGGAGTTAGCAGAGAAGGTGGATCAAGTTGAGGTGCTCTGGGACTACCTGGAAGATTAGATTCTTAGTAGTAAAGAAATCAGAGTGAAAATTACAATCTGGTCATTTAACATGTGCACAGCACTGATTAATGTATATAATATGCTTGGAGCTGAACATAACAATTCAAAGAGCCTTCAACTCATTACGTGTTTAAGACATTTAAATTTCAGTCACACCCAGGAAACATTGAAGTCTTATCTACTGTCATCTAAAGGGGTAGACTGAGGGTGTTTTGAAAGAATCTGGGGCGAAAAGGCTAAGTAGTTCAGCCTAGAACCAAAAAAATTTCAATCTACAATACTCAAGTAATTTACAGAAAGTGCAGGAGCAACCCAGTTCTTCAAATTCTTGGTATTAGGAGAACCTGAACTATTCCAGATTTTTCATGGCTATTGCCAACCCTACTTAGCCAAACAGGCTCAAACCCCAGGAACAGACCAGATCAATCCCAGAAACAATTCTCTGTGAGCTATGGCAGAATCATGAAAACAATTACTTCAGAAGCAATAGAATTTCAGAATTTCAGAGCTGGAGAGGGCCTTAGGGACCCACTAGCTAACAGTAATTCTCACTACAATATTCTTGACAAGTAGTTGTCTGGCATCTAAGGCAACTCATCTAATTTGGGGTATCTCTAATTTTTGGGAATGTTTGTTCGTTTGTTTGTTTGTTTGTTTTTCCCGAAGCCAAGCCTAAATTGGTCCCTCAGTAGCTTACATACATTGCTCCAGGTTTTACCCTCTAAGGCAGAACAAAGTTTAATCTCTCTCCCATATGACTTTTCAAATGCTTGAAGGAAAGCCAGCCTCCCTTGTCTTCTCTTCTCCTGGCTAATCATATTCATTTCCTTCCTGTTATCTTCCTATATTATGGTTTCAGGTGACTTCATCTCTTGGTCAATGTCCTTCCTAAAATGTGGCACCCCAAAGTGAGCACAATATTCCAGATATGGTCTAACTAGATCAGAATACAATAAGACTATCACCTTTCTTGTTCTGGGCATTATATCAAGATCAAGGTCTATGTTCATGTCAGCTTCTTTGCTGGCCATGTTGTATCATTTGGAGTTTATGGTTCATTAAAATATCTCCAATTAGAAAATGTATGTAAAATATCATGCAAATTCTATAGGCTCTGTCATAGACCTCTTTTTTCTCCTTCTGTGCTGTTTCATCTGGCAATGTCATCCGCTCTCATAGATCCAGTTTTCATCTCTATGCTAATGATTCTCAAATTTCCTTATCCAGCCCTAATCTCTCTGCAATCCTCCAGGCTCATATCTCCAGCTGTCTATTGCACATCTCATGTGAGATGTCCTGTAAACATCTTAAACTCAATAAGTCCAAAACTGAACTTATTATCTTTCCTCCCAAATGCTTCCCCTTCCAAAATTCCTTATTACTGCCCACTCACTGAGGCTCCCAACCTAGTTGTCATCCTTAACTCTTCACTCTCTTTCCCCCTCCCCCACCAATATCCATTCTGTTGCCAAGACCTGTCATTTTTACTTTCTTAACATGTCAGCAACAGCTTGCTGTTCTGTCTCCTTGCTTCAAGTCTTTCCTTACTCCAATACATCCTTCTACTCAGTTATCATGCTAAAGCACAGGTCTGATCATGTCACTCCCCCCCACCCCAGTGGCTCCCTATTACCTACAGGATCAAACACAAAATCTACATTCAGACTCCATAGCTCTTTCTCTGAATGTGGATAGCATTTTCCCACATGAGTCTTTTGGAATAGTCTTGGATCACTGCATTGCTGAGAAGAGCTAAGTCTATCATAGTTAATCATTGTACAACATTGCTGTTGCTGTGTACAATGTTCTCCTGGTTCTGCTCACTTCACTCAGCCTGAGCTCATATAAGTCTTTCCAGGTTTTTTTCAAATCATGCTGCTCACCATTTCTTATAGCACAATGGTATCCCATTATATTCATATACTACAACTTGTTCAGCCATTCCCCAATTGATGGGCATTCCCTCAATATCCAGTTCTTTGCCACAACAAAAAGAGCTGCTATAAATATTTTTGTACGTCTTGGTCCTTTCCCCTTTTTCAAGATCTCTTTAGGATATAGACCTAGTAGTGGTATTGCTGGATCAAGGGTGTAGCTCTTCGGGCATAGTTCCAAATTGCTCTCTAGAATGATAGGATTAGTTCACAATTGTACCAACAATGTATTAGTGTTCCAATTTTCTCACATCTTCTCCACTATTTATCAATCTCCTTTTCTGTCATATTAGCCAATCTGATAGAGTATGAGGTAGTACCTCAGAGTTGTTTTAATTTGCATTTCTGTAATCAATAGTGATTTAGAATATTTCTTCATATGATTATAGATAAAATGATAGCATTATTAATAAAATGATTAAATTACCCAGAAAAAAACAAACACACATAAAGCATCTCTTTAATAATATATTCCAGAATTTTTCTAGGAATTTTAGTTAATTCCACCAGTATATAGGCTTAAGACTCTACTCTCTGCTTGACTGAGCTAAAAGGGTGGATGGGGAAAATATTACCTCACGAGAGGTAACAATATATACATCTGCATAATTCTATCACTGAAAAAAGATCATATAAGGCAATTGCTGAGCCTCCTTAATTTGGTTTAGTGTTTTGAGCTGCTCTCTCCGCTTCTGGTAAGTTGGGAAAGGTTTTATAAAGGAGTCTGATTTGGAAGGAGGAGGAGAACAATCCATGGTCACTCTGTGGACATGATGGGAGGAAGCTATTTTAGGTCTTAGGGTAATGAAGAAGGAAGGACAACAAGAACTAAGAGTGGGAAGAGAGAAACAAAGCAAGTAGTGAAGCCTCAGAAAGCTAAGTGGGACAGAGAAGGAGAGGGAGGCTGCAGGAGGGGAAAGAAGAAAGTTGTGGCATTATATAGAGAAGGCATGAACAAAGCCAAGCAAATGGAAAGAGACTAAAACAATCTGTGCACATTTTTTAAACTACTGCCATAATATTTTAAGAAAGTCCAAGGGTGTAGTAGTTGAAAGGTAACATGAAACATTTTTTGACTGATCAAAAAAAAGAAATAGAAAGGGGCAACTAGGTGGCACAGTAGATGGAGCACCTGCCCTATATTAGGAGGACATGAGTTCAAGTCAGGCCTCAGATCCTTACTGGCTGTGTGTGACCCTGGGCAAGTCACTTAACCTCGATTGCTTCTCCCCAAAAAAGTAAGAAATAGAAACATAGGATCATAGAATATAGGAACTAAGAGAGACTTCAAAGGCCATCTAAATCAGATGTGTACCATAAGGAATGTTGCTGAACCAGATTAAAATGTGATTGGGAAATATTTAATAAAATAAGACAGAATAGAATATAGATGATATTACTACATGGTTTTCTAAGTCACTATGCTATCCACAAAGGTCTTTATGTATGGTTTGGTGGCCCCAATTTCTATTTGAGTTTGACACCATTGATCTAGGTTATCCCTTCAATTAATAGTTATAGACACTATGGTTTGGAGAGGGAAATCAATTTACCCAATGTCATACAGAAAAGTAATAGCAGATCTAGGACTGAAACTCAAATCTCTTGATTCCCATTTCATAGTTTCTTTTCACTATTCCACACTGCCTCACTGACACAGATTTTTTTTCCCCTTTTCCAACTAATGAAAAAACAAATACATTGAATCCTCAATATTTGCCCATTTAACTTTTGCTTAGCTTTCAGGACTTGGGTTGGTGCACATTCCCAGCTAGTAGAAAAAATGAGAGGCCCAACGTGTGCAAGTTTGTGCATCAGCTGATAAAGGACTTCACGGACTTGTTCATTCTACCATTGCAAAGAGCTCCCTGCATTCATTGCACATTTTCATTGTTTGCCTTCAAAACTCAAGTTTTGTGTTGCAATTATGCTCCCAAAGCATAGCGCAAGTCTTTTGGGCTCTAAGCCCAAGCGTGCAAAGTCAGTGATGAGGCTTAGTGAGAAAATAAAGGTGTTAGATAAACTTTGTGCTAGAATGCCTGTAGCTCCGCTCAAGTTTGGTGTTGATGGATAGACTATTCGTTACATCTACAAAAAAGAAGAAAGTATTCACAAAAGCAGAGCGATGAAGGAATTGAAAAAAACGGGAAAGCAACTAAGTTTTTGGGTTAATGAAACAGAGGTCTCTTCCACCAGGAGCACAAGCACCCCCGCAGGGCTTGGCAAGAAGTGGTGCTTGGCCTGCCTGGCTGCCAGGGGGAAGTGCTGCTCTGACCTGGTTGGGGACTCACCTCAAGGCACGAGCTTTTCATCCAGAAACAGTTCAACCACATAGCCAAAAGAGAGATTAGAGTGGCCGGCTGCCCCTTTCAAAACCTTTCTCACCTCAGGGTTGTTCTGACATTACTGCCCTTGAATTGCCTCTACTCTCCCTTGCATTTTGTGGATTATTTCATGAGTACTGAGTTAGGAAAAGTACATATTATCAGAATTAATGTTTTATCATAAAGAATTATATGCAGAAAAGTGTATTTTCAGCAATCTTTAGCAAATGATAACAGTT